AATACTATCATACATCACGAATCTTGAAAACGTTTTACGTTCCAAATATCAACCATTATAATATTACGTGATTTTTAACCGAAAATTCACGTGAATTATTACCATATAAATTTATTAAATTAAAATTGTGTAACTTACGGTAGAAATGAATCAAAAAAAAAAAAAAAATTTAACGAACCTGACCTGACCACTTTGCAGGAACTGCTATATATCATTCTACGATTTAAAATGCATCCGTTTTAAGTTGATTGTCCTTATAAGATTATAATTTGAGGAAGATGTTGATGAAACTTAAGATTAGTGCCTTTAGAAATTATATTGATAAAATTGCCAATTATTTTAAAGGCTTATGGTTCAAACACACAGTACTCAAATAGAAATTGTCTAATTTAAATTTTTGCAATAAATTGAAAATTTTTTAAATTTTCATCACAGATATTACCAATCCACTCGCTTCTTTTTATATTTTATTTTTTATTAAAGAAACCTCTGCTTAATAATATTTTCAATTTGTAATTCTGAAAATTATCTTTTTGCCAAAACAGTTATTTTATATAAAAAATAAAAATCGATGTGATTTCTATTATATACTCGAGAAATATTTTTTTTCCATATAAGAAATTGGCATCACCAATAATTACAATTAATTATTTTCTTTTATTTTCATCGTGTCGAATAATAATGATAATTACCTTGTTAAAATCAATACACAGTTAATATCATTACAAACATTTTAAATATCTATCATCGGCAGCTAATACTTGCAAACAATTCCATCAGCAACAACAACGTGCAATTACAACAATATTCGGGCATTTTTAAGGAAAATATATTAAAAGGACATTTATATCGAAGAGTCATAAATTTTGATCTATCGGTGATGAATTATTGTTGTAAACACTCCAATAGTTGGCTTGGTTAGATATAATCCAACCATTGTCAATAATGCTATACTAAACTGTTTCAATATACTCTTTATGAATATCCAAATTTTAAACTTGTGTTAACCGGCATAAATCTAAGATTAAGTCAAGTACATGTGCATGCACCATAACGAGACCAAAATCAATCTTTCTTGCGTTTATTCTGTAATACATAAGAGTTATTCATTTCTTTCGAAATACTTTACTTTGTTTTCGGCTTTTGTGTTTGATGATGATAAGACTTCGTCTAGGAAGAGAGTCTCGTGACCCAAGAGAATGAAGTATGTGCATCTACCTGCTTAAAATTATATGAATTGATTAAAAGAACATTATGATTAGACACGTCATCACGTGAATTTCAATTACTTTTTTGTTATTCTCCCATAACATTAACTATTATATGATCATTAACCTTGTCGAAATCATTTTAAATTTTGTTTTCAAGCTACGAAATCTTAAAGAATTGACGTACACCCTCCAAAGTCCCAAAAACGACCTTTAAGTAATTATCGATCATCTATCAATTAAGACATATTTTATATGCTGGAAAAACAGTATAATGATTTCATGTTAAATAATTTTTTACAAGGAAAATATTTATCAAATATCAGGTTGAGAGCCCATAGTAAATCAGAAAATCGCTGAAAACATTTCTCTCACCTCGCTTAATAGTAAACTATTCACGATAAGGTATATAATTTAGTTCTTCTATGTCTACGGTTCACAAATATAGCATGGTCATTTAATAATAAAATTAGACGAATTTATTGATGTCGTCAATGTGGATTAAAACTTCGCAATCCTGATTTCATCCCACGAGACATCGTCATCTTAAACGGTCGCGTGATTTTCATTTGGAGAGAATATGACTCATAGGCTTCATTACCATCTTTTTTTTTCCTTTGTCTAGTATTCCATCATCTTTTTTCCGTCAGCATATCTATCTACTTTTATTTTCTCTCGATCTTCTCTCTGTTTTCACGATAAACATTAAATTCCGATCATTTCAAGAAACATGGATAATATAAGGAATATCATTCTGATACTCCGTCCAATTGAATGGCTTTTATGTAACGCGTATAACACCTGAAGTAATGAGTCAGTTGTTTATTTGTTAAAAAATATATTTTCGTAATAAATGTGATTAAAAGATCCCTATTCAGATACAATAGTTTATCCCAACCGTCAAGCATCCGAGGTCTTTTTAAGCCAAATCGATTCACTTACAATTTTTATCATGGTGGAAAAATGCATAAGTAATGAAAAAAACTGCCGTTCCTACACATGAGAATGAGTCTGTATAAAATTGGGATTTCGATGCATTAATCGTTAGGTTACGATTGATACTATTACTGATCTTCCAAAGTTATTGTTCTACAATGGTGAAATTGATGTTGATTGTGATGGTGAAAGTAAAGATAGGCTAACCTATTGAATAATGTCAATATCAAATGAGATGAATTGTTGAAAAATAGATAATGTCGATGATGATTGATTGTTGCGCTGGAGGTGAATAAATTCTGAAGTTCGTGATGATAAAGAGATGTTTGTTTGGTGATATAAATGATAATAAGTCTTACACGTGGATGTATAATGTACAAAATACGAGTGGCTGAAAGATTGTGTGCAAACTTAAGAAAGTAATGGATTGAAATAGAAAGGATGAAAATAATAATTTACAAATCACGTGGTAAGGTTAAGTTTTTATATTAACGAAATATTATGTGGCTTTTTTTCTGTAAACGAAAAACTTAATAATATGGAAACTATAGAAGAAAATTTAAAAGAACTTCAAAGCATGTTAAGCGATGAAAATATTAAAAATATCGTTAAAGGTTTTAAAGAACTTGTCGAAATACCAAAAACTTTTGAAAATTATCAAAAAATCGTTAATTACGACACCAAGTTACGTCAAGTAGCAGATTGTTTAATAAACGAGAGATTAATAATCAATTCTCGGGAATCTAAGAATCCAGATAATAATAATGATATCCGGAAATTTTCTACTTCTTTGATTTATTTAAAATTATTAGCTAATAAAATAACTTATCCAAAAAGAATAGATATTATACAAGATGTGATGAACTCTCCTTGTAAAGAAGAAATCTTGTTCAATTATGCTCTGTCAGAGGATGAAATTAACAAACGTTACCGAAAACTCGCGTTGAATTTCCATCCAGATAAAACAAATCGACCAAATACCCCGTATTCTCTTCAAGGTGATCATAAAAACCTAGGTGCTGAGCTATTTAGATATATTACAGAAATTAAGGAAAGTTTATTGGCCAATTATAAAAAATCTTGAGTAACGAAGGCTGGATGTTTCATAAGAGAAATGCAGACGAACTTTGGAAAATTACGATTGAATACCGTAATGCAGCTAAAGGACAATGGGATAAACTAAAAATTCTAAATAAAGATGACATCAGCAGATTCTCTTCTGAAGAACTGGAGTTTAATAGCGTAAGTTATGGATTACAGGCCTATAAAGAATACAGAGCAGCATGTAAAATTGTAGATATAGCTAAACAACTAAAAGAACAAGTAAGATTACGAGGAAATATCGCATTATGCTTATATGTCTCTAACCGACTTTTAGAAGCCCAGTTATATGCGTTATCAGCAATTAAGTTAATTTCAAAATTCTCAAGATATTACGTTCCATGATTTGAACGAGACAAAAAAATATTTGATAAAGTAAGATGTAGAAATCTGCCGAGGAAACTCCTGTATCAGAAACTGAGATTAGACTAAAAGTTAATCCTGATGACTCGCGATCTTTATTAAGAATAGTGGATCAAGGGGTTTCTTTTTCTGACAAAAAATCTTTCCAACGGTTAATTTATAATGATTGATTTAATGCTCAAAGCGGACCGCAGTTTGGTTCGTTATCAAATACCTAAGGATGAGATCTTACGTGTCAAGTATCAAGCTTATAAACTTAAAAGAATGGGGAGAGTAACATTCCATTCCAATTTTAAGGGCATTGGTGGATGAATAAAATTTCGATCAATTTCAATTTCTTTAGAATTATCACAATCAATTTGACATACAATAAATTTTGGTCTTTCAAAATTACTACTTATAATTTTTGCTGCATGAAAAGATTTTTTATCTTTATTAAATTAACTTCTACAATGTCTCCAAAAGACCATTTTGATTGCATACCAATCAAAACTTTTAATATATGCTCTATTTTCGCTTGCTTCATCACAAATGGAACTATATGTATGTATATCTAAACATTCTAATTTGGCTGCAAGACTAAAAATAATGAATTTAAGCTATGTGCTATCATATTATTAATACCATAATAAGATATGAGAAATGCAAAATTGTGTATTACTGAATGACTATTTGATAGATTTGAGTTGCAAGTTCATGTTTTTGTTTAAGTATAGAATTAGATAAAGAATGAATTTCTGTTAATGTTGATTCTAGTTTATGTTGACATTACATAACAAATGCTTGAAAGTTTTACATTTTATTTTCAAAGTTCAGATAATCAATATAACAGTTCTCATATTGACTCTAAAGAAGATCTATTTAAAAAATAAAATATATTTATAAAATTTTAAAAATACTAACAATAATCATTTTTTACCTTTTTGAATTTTAAAAAAATCATGTGAAAAAAATTCCTTTCACCCATATTCTCAAATTTTATTTTTTATTAAGCTAAATAATATCTGATAAGCAATTTTATCTTGCCATTTAGATTTTTGTTCACATTTGTTAATATAACTTTTAAGCGTAAAAATTAATGATAAATGCATAATAGTTTTTATTGCATCATATGCTGTATGACCAGATCTACTGTATACAGTATAGCCCAATGTAAAAACTTTTAAGTAAAAAAAAAGAGTTTTTTTATATTGATATGTAAAAATAAATTTAAATTAATAATCTTACATTAAATGATATCTTGTTCCATTTGGTTTACTAATTTGAATACGAATAAGTTTCTAAAAAATAAGATAAAAAGTAAAAATATCTACAGATTTATTAATAACATCTTTAGCAATAATATGAACAATATTTGCAATGTTATCTGAAAATTCCTCTTTTTTCTTTTCAATTTTCTCTTTTAGATGCTTTTTTAAATCGATAATTAATTCTGTTTCTTAATAACTTTTCTTTTTTAATTAACCTTTTCTACAAGAATTTCCTTTGATATATGTATTGCTTGTATAAAGTTTGTTTTTGCTAAACCTCTTTTCTGAATTTGTTATATTATTTTTTTTGTAATTTTACATAATTTTTACACATACTTCCTTCTTTTACTATAAGTATGCAATCTATTCTTTGATATATTTCTTCAGGTTGATTATTTCTTTCTATTAAAGTAAAAGAAGAAATTTTTTTATTGCTAACAAGTTGAGTAACTCGAATGTGTGTTATATCTTTAAATCTTTAAAATTATAAAAAAATAATAAATAAAATAAAAATAAAAATAATTTAATTAATTTAAAAAATATATTACCACATGTACTTATTCTATGATAAATATTAATAGCAAAAATATATCTAATAAAATTAATTAATTTGTCAAGTGTTCTTTCTATCTTTTTAATTAGAATAGTAAGATATTTTCTTACACTAATTGATCGAATACATAAACTTCATATTTATATATATTATATCTAGTTAGAATTAGTAATTTTTTTTCTCATTATTTCTCTCTAAAAAAATTAAATTCAAGTTCTCCAATAATTCATTGTATTGTAATTTTAGCAAATTCTCCTTCAGGTAAAACTTTTTCTTAAATTAATAAAAGAATATCTGCAGTATTTATTAATGATGTTGCTTTTCAATATGAGTATAATATATAATCTATATAGAAAATAAATGCTATTGATAGATTAGTAGAATTGGATTTCAAAAAAATAGTAACAATAGCTGATCTTTTTTTTTAAAATAATTTTGATTTCTTCATTCAATTTATCCATTTAAAAAATAAATCAAATTTACAATCATCTTTAATGCTATATACTAAGTTTTTTTTTCTCTTATATCATACATAAGTACACCTTCAAAATATTTATCTAATATTAAAAAAAAATATAATATTTTTTCTTTGAAATCAGGCCTAATATATATAAGTTCTTATAATGCTTTTACTTATTTGCCACTTTGGTAATGATAAATTGTCATTATTTTTGTTCAAGGATTTTTTTTGTGATTTTTAATGATAAAGTTATAAATATTTTATTAAAATTATTTAAATATTATATTTTTTTTTCTTTTACTGCTTACTATTTTTAAGTAAATATTAAAATTTCCTATGAATTTAAGATATTTTAATAGCTGATCCTATTTTTTAAAAAATATAAATGTGAAACCTAAAAAAATAAGATATTCATAAAGTTTTATATCTCATTATTCTTACATTATAATTTTTTTTATATTAAATCAATTTTAAATCAATTTACCTATTTTAAAGAAAAAATAATATTACATTTTAATAGTAGTATATATAAAATTATATATAGTATTAGTTTTAATAATCATTGATTAGGCTGTGTAATCTATGCATTAGCCTCTTCCATTTATTTATTTAACCTTTAAGTATAATCTTAGATTATGCATCTTTGATTAAACTTTTACTCAAGTCCTAGCCTAGTTAAATTTTTAGCCTTTATCTAAACTTTTAGGTGAATAGGTAAACTATTACTCAGATTAGCAGATTATATTAATTTCTGATTAATTCACATAATTGGCATAATAATGTCAGCATTTTGAAAAAACTCTGTTTTTTATTGCAGTGTAGTAAATTTCTGCAAAACTTTTGCTGTTTTTGCAAAGTAATTATTGAACTAAAATTAATTTAAGTTATTTTTGCTGTATATAATGTAATTATTATGCAATATTTGTAATTTATACATAATTAATTATGTGCGATTACATAGTGATTTCTGTGTCAATTAAATGTATTTAATTTTAGCTAATCTCTGACGTAAAACTGCCTACAGAATATTAACTATTTATGTAAATACAGGAATAATACTTAATTAAATTAGATGTATTTCTCATCATAACTTAATGTGAATATCTCTATTATTGTATAGTTTTACCTTTTATTTTATAATGAATTGTAATATATTATTTAATAAAACTCAAACAGAATGATAAGAAGAAATGTTTAATATATTATTGCATTCTCTAAAAATGTAATATACTTTCACGTATATTTCAGAATTATCTAATAGGATATTATATGAATTTTTCTTAGCATAAAAATTGAGAGGAAGTTAAAAGTTATTTAAAGACTATTTAATTAGTCCAGTGAGAAAATTCCTTAATAAAAGTAAATTGATAATAAGTAACTGTTTAATTTTCTAAATAATTTGCTACTATTGATTCTTGAATATATATAGCTTTTATTTTATTTTTCTTAAAAAACTTCTTTAATTTTAACATACTTCAACTGAATAAAATCTAACTCTAACCTTAACTTTAATATTTAACCAATAGAAAGTTTTTTCATGACAACTAATAGAATGTTTATTTATTAGTTATATGTCATTTACGTGATCTAACCTAAGAAAATTATTTAGATATTGTAACATGAGTTATGTGACATACTATCCTAATCATGTAACTTAAAATCAGGTCATATAAACCTCCAAATTACATGACTGGGCAAGGTTTGTATAATATCAACTTTGAAAATATTTTTTTAAGTTTTTGTATTACAAATATAGCAATCATATAACTGTTAATCCACCTGCAGTAGGTTTGTATATTCCAGATAATATGTCTTCAATTAAATTTTTACCTAGATTCAAATCAGGCTAAACTTTTAACTTTACTTAAACTTTTAGACAGATAAATAAACTATTATTCAGATTGACATATCTGATTAATTTTTAATTAATCTGCGTAATTAATGTAATAATATTAGCATTTTTGAAAAACTATTTATTATTGCAATACACTAAAATTCCTATGAAATTTTTACTGTTTTTGTAATACACAGATGCAGTAATTATTGAACTAAAAATAATCTGTTATTTTTACTATATATGAGGCAATTATTATATAATATTTTATAATTTATACAATATCAATTGCGTATGACTATGCAGTGATCACTATAATAATCAAATAATATTAATTTCAGCTAATCTCTGGCTTAAAATATAGCTTACAGAACTTTAACCTCTTGTGTAAATTAAGAAATAATATTTAATTAAATTAGATACATTTTAGCGTAACTTAACATGAATACCTCCATTACCACATAGTTCTATTTATTTTGCAATAATTTTATGATATATTATTTAATAAAACTCAAAAATATTAATAAAAGAGAACATTTGATGTATTGTCACATTTTCAAAAATACAACGTATATTTACATGCATGTTAGAATTACCTAATAGGATACTGTATAGATTTTCTCAACATAAGAATTGTGAAGATATTGAAATCTATTTAAGAATCATTCAATGAGTCTAGTGAGAAGATTTGTTAATAAAGGTAAATTGATAATAAATAATTATTTAATTCTTTAAATAATTTTACTGCTATCAACTTTCAATATAAATAGTTTACATCTTTATTTTTCCTAAAAAAAACTTTTTTGTTTTTTAACATATTCTAACTGAGTAAACCTTAATTACATGATTTTATTAATTAAAATAACTGCAATTATTTACTATACT